AGTCCATACATATAGGTAGAGGGTGAGCAGCAAATTAGTATACAAAATAATCAAGATAGATGTTTAACAGATGCAAGGACCAAAAAGGAATAAAAATTTAGTTTACATAGTCACCATCTGTTTGGATTTAATTCCATGGGGAAGCATAGTGAAGCAAATAAATATGTCAGAATTAGAGACTGATGTGCAAATGTACCTTCTTAATTGTGGAATGCTGAGAATAATTAACTGAGACCCTGTTGTTATGCTCCATTCATCTCAAGCATGGAGGTAACTAACAGCATCCTTTTCTTTAAGGTGGGATGATGGGTTGTACAGTGTTGTGTTCTCCCTATGTAGAGAATAGAAGGGTATTGTTGGCATTTAATGGCATATACAATTTTAGATGATGAGCAAGTGAATGAGCCTGAGATGGCGTAGTTGATGTTTTTAGTAGTTGTAGTAGTAAAATTTATTTTGTAGTCATTGGCCATTACAATTTAAAACAATATACAAATTAGACAATTTACAGCACTGGAATTTGAATTAGATTTAAAATATAATAACCTCTAAGTTGATGTTTTTAGGTCCAGTATTCATGTTGTCTGGGTGTATGTGGCAGCAAAGTTGGCATCTGGGTTTATTGCAAGCTCTGGTAAACAGGTTGTATTATTGTAAAGATTAAGATTGGGGGGTTGTCTGTGTGCAAGAAAAGGTTTGCTCCACAGTGAAAGAGAACTATTATTCAGTAGAGGTTATAATTCATTGATGATGCATTAAACTGTTTTGAGTTGAGATACTTTTAGAATTTTACAGGCTAAGAGAAATACTTATTGTTTAGCTAAAATAAAAAAACTTTACTTGGGAAAGCCCAACCTAAAAGGTTTTCCGCCAATCAGAGACCTGTTAGTTCAGAGTGCTGATGTTTAATGGAACCAATAATCTTGTTTTATTTGTGTGTGTCATCTTGAGTATAAAATCCTATGTCACCAATTGTAACACTCAAAGAGTCTGTTGGGTATTCAAGGGTTCCAAACCTTGATATCCCTGAGCCCGCACGCGGGAAGGGCGGGGTATAAATTAAATTAAATAAATAAATATCTGTATTCTTCCTTTATTAATTAATAAATTTTTAAGTGTACCTCCTCTACAGGACTGTTTTCGTGTGTTTCTCAAATTGGGTTGGGCAAACACAGCCAGGGACACAAGCAGTGTTCCCTCTAAGCTGAGTTAGTGTGAGCTAGCTCACAGATTTTTGTCTTAGCTCGGGAAGGATGGCTCCAGAGCAAACTAATTTATGCAGTAGCCAAATCGCTCATTCACAACTTTAATGCCAGCGGCTCACAGAGTAGAATTTTTGCTCACATGACTCCACAGCTTAGAGGGAGCATTGGATACAAGTTGTGTCCAACATGGGTGAGAACAAAATGGCAGAGTTTGATGGCAAAGTCAGCTGTGATGTTGTCAGAAATCATGTTTCTTATGCCTTGTAATCCTGTAATCAAGCAGAAAGTGAAGAGGACCTTAAGAGCCTCTTGCTCAGAGTAAAAGAGGAGAGCGCAAAAGTGGGCTTGAAGCTCAACATCAAAAAATGTTTCTTGGGACTGAAAGGACAGGCCCCAGGGGCTGTCATTCCACTCTGAGGCCTCTCATTACACTCCCAGAACACATCTGCGACACTCAGGGGCTGTCATTCCACTCTGGGGCCTCTCATTACACTCCCAGAACACATCTGCGACACTCAGGGGCTGTCATTCCACTCTGGGGCCTCTCATTACACTCCCAGAACACATCTGCGACACTCAGGGGCTGTCATTCCACTCTGGGGCCTCTCATTACACTCCCAGAACACATCTGCTACACTCAGGGGCTGTCATTCCACTCTGGGGCCTCTCATTCCACTCCCAGAACACATCTGCTACACTCAGGGGCTGTCATTCCACTCTAGGGCATGTCATTCCAGTTCCAGGACACTCCTGCTACCCCAGGGGGCTGTCATTCCACTCTGGGGCCTGTCATTCCATACCACGAATACTCCTGCTACCCCCAGGGGCTGTCATTCCACTCTGGGTCCAATCCTTCCATTCCAAAAATACTCCAGCTACCCCCAGGGGCTGTCATTCCATTCTGTGGTCTCTCATTCCAGTCCCAGAACACTCCTAGTACCCCCAGGGGCTGTCATTCCACTCTGGGGCCTGTCATTCTAGTAACAGACTACTCCTGCTACATTTAGGGGCTGTCATTCCACTCTGGGCCTGTCATTCTAATCACAGGACAGACAGACAGACAACCTTTACTGGTATATTAGAGATAAAAGTACATTAAAATTTAGGAATACATCAAAAATGTGGCTGTCATACAAGCAAACAGCAAGGAAAAAAACCTGATCAGTTTATAGTTTCCCTGATTTGAATTGCACGTTGAAGAAAACAAGCAACATTAGCGGTTATAGAAGAATTTTGCCCTGAGAGTAGCAACTGGACTTTGACACTCTCAAGGAGACCATGGCATGTAAAAGAAGGGAGTCCAGAAATTTATCCCGGGTCTTAGTATAAAATGGGCCATTTAAAAGAACGTGGGAAACAGATTAGATAGCACCCTGACTACAAGGGCATTGTCTCAGTTCATAAGGGATTTTATGGCATCTTCCAGAGAACCAATACGTTAAATCTGGCTAACATAAATGCCCTTCTTTGAAGGCGTTCAGTTAAAGAGCAAAAATAAGTAGCTGTCTGGCCCAGGGTCTGGGGTAATCCCAGATGAACTGGAGAACAAGTTTTCCTAGCTGTCTCAGTCAGGCACTGAAATTGAATATCTAAAAGCCTGCGTTTGATTGTATGAAATATTTTGGAGGCAGATGATAAATAAAGCGGATCTAAAGATATTCCTAAAGACCTAATTTTTTTGGTCTAATTTCAGCCAATTAGGTTCACAATGATCTGTCAGCATTAAAAAGGTAAAAGAATTCGGGTCAGAATTAAACAGAAGGTGCAACCAAAATTTGATTATCAAAAGCCAGGCCTGAGTTTCCAGGGACATCTGACCAGTTTTGAGACACATCGCAGCATATGGGACCCAATTAGGAAGTCCAAAGGTTTTCCGCAAAAAAAAAAAGGATTGTAAGCCCTCTGCTGATTGGTTAATTGCACTAATCCAAATGGGAGTGCCATATAGAAACTGTGAACTAGTCCCAGATATTCCTGCTACCGCCAGGTGCTGTCATTCCACTCTGGGGCCTGTCATTCCAGTCCCAGAACACTCCTACTACCCCCATGGGCTGTCATTCCACTACATGCTCTAGGATTCTAGTCACAGACAACTCCTATTAAATCCATGGGCTGTCATTCCACTTGGGGGGCTGTCATTCTAGTTCCAGAACATTTCTGCTACCTCCAGGGGTTGTCATTCCATTCTGGGGCCTGATAGCCTAGTCCCTGAACACTCCTGCTACACCCAGGGACTGTCATTCCACTCCTTGGTCTCTCATTCTAGACACAGAACACTCCTGCTACCCCCAGGGGCTGTCATTCCACTCTGTGGTCTCCCATTCTAGTCACAGAACACTCCTGCTACCCCAGGGGCTGTAATTCCATTCTGTGGTCTCTCATTCCACTCCCAGAACACATCTGCTACACTCAGGGGCTGTCATTCCACTCTAGGGCATGTCATTCCAGTTCCAGGACACTCCTGCTACCCCAGGGGGCTGTCATTCCACTCTGGGGCCTGTCATTCCATACCACGAATACTCCTGCTACCCCCAGGGGCTGTCATTCCACTCTGGGGCCTGTCATTCCAGTCCCAGAACATTTCTGCTACCCCCTGGATCTGTCATTCCACCCTGGGACCTGTAATTCTAGTCACAGACTACTCCTACTACATCCAGGGCCTGTCATTCCATTCCCAGAACATTGCTGCTACCTCCAGGGGCTGTCATTCCTCCTACCTCCAGGGGCTGTCATTCCACTCTGGGACCTGTCATTCCAGTCCCAGAACACTCCTACTACCCCCATGGGCTGTCATTCCACTCCTTGGTCTCTCATTCTAGATACAGACTACTCCTGCTACCCCCAGGGGCTGTCATTCCACTCTGTGGTCTCCCATTCTAGTCCCTGAACACATCTGCTACCCTCTGTGGCTTGTCATTCCAGTCCCTGAACACCCCTGCTACCCCCTGGGACTGTCATTCCACTCTGGGGCTTCTCATCCCAGTCCCAGAACACTTCTGTTACTCCTAGGGGCTGTCATTCCACTCCCTGCTCTCTCATTCCAGTCCCGGAGTAGTCTGTTTGGGCCCAGAGACCCTAATGGAAAATCCATTCTGCATTTTTATTGCAACTCTACTTGTACTTTAATGTATTTCAATGGAGCCCATGCAAGTCAATTGGCACTCCTGTCTCCCATTATTTCCAACGAGCTTTCAAGTATTTCCCACTGTTTCCAATGGGCAATCCTGTCCTTCCTTTAAGTACATCCCAATTTTCGCTACGATCCAGCAGGGCTCTCCCCATTTCCTGCAATTATTCGAAATGATCTAGTTCTTGTTTTTCCCAGGACTACTTCACTACTATATTCTTCCTCCAGCGTACTACAAGACAGTTCCTTCCATCCTCCTGAGGCGGCATCGTTTTTGTTCGTAGTATCACCTCCCCCCGCCGAGCCTTCCTTTCTGCTTGCTTTAGGGTGATTACGTACGCCGCGCCCCTTGCGGAAGACAAGCGAAAACCTCAGAATAAATCACCTCCCCCCCGCCCCCAGCAACGCAGAATCATAGAGAAGCGGAGCCGATCCCTGCAACGGCGCCCTCAAGCGGTCAAACCGTGTTCTCCCTCACCAAGCGATAGGTGGCGCACAGAAGACGTATAAGAAAGTGACGTCAAGTCAAAAACGCTGAGCGCAAGCGCATTGCCGGGCCGAGCATTAACTACGCGTCATCACTATGATGGGGCTGGACGGTGTCAGAGCCAGTGATTGGCTGCCGGAAAGATGAGGGAGGCGCGGCTTCGGCAGTGGGCGGAGCCCGGAAGAGAGGCTCTGGGCAGCTGCTGGATGGCTGCGGTGGGGGCGAGAGAGATCGGGCGGTCGGGTCGCCCTCCGTTCGCTTGCCTGATAGATGCTGCGCTCATTCCACTTGCTGGGCTGGTTCTGTCTGTGGGTCCTGTACCTGCCTGGGCAGTTCTCTCCTGCCACAGGGAAGGGGGTCGACATCGCCCATTATAGGTGAGCAGAGCTGAGATCCGGTCAGCGAGGACTGGTGGAAGGCGTTGCCACCTGTGGGTTGGGAAATTTCTGGAGATTTGGGGGTGGAGCCTGGAGTGGGGGATTCCCCTCAGTGGGGAATAATGCCCTAGAGTCTCCCCTCTAAAGCACCCATTTTCTCCAGGGGACCTGATCTCTGTAGTCTGGAGGTCCGTTGTAATTCCAGGAGATCTCCAGGCCCCAGATGGAGGCTGGCAACTCTACTGGTGGAAAGAGCCCAGCTCCCTGCCCTAGTCGTTTGCCTTGATTGGCAGGTAGAATATTAACTGGTGGGAAATCCCCCCCCCCATCTCTGTCTCAGGGTAATCTGGACTGGTTGAATATCTGCCTGTTATGAGGCCATTAGAAATGTGGGAACTAGGCCAGAAAGGGGGGAGATGTGTCCCCCCTAGAGAAAGAGTGGGGGACTTTGTGCAGAGTCTTGGAGAGATTAGGGAAACTTTGGGCTAATTTCTCCAGGGGGTGCAAAGAGGGGATTGTTATCTTCCTGTCTTCTCTCTCCTCCTTGTAAACTATAGCAAGCAGTTTGGCAAGGAAAATGGCAGAGAGAAAGTGGATGAGGTGGTTCTACTTTTCAGAGCCTGAGGTCCCGTTTGGGTATTGCAGGCTGTAGCCATGATGTGGAAGGGGGGGGGAGGGAGAGGATCTGTGTGGTGGTGTGTTCCATGTGGGACTTATTTTTGTAGATAGCTCATGTAAATCCTAGAGCTGTTACCTAATTAAAGAATTCTTAGTTCATCAGTTCTGTGAGATTTAGTCCATTAAAAATGCACAAACTTTATTTGCATAATGAAGTGCAGAAGAAGAAAACATAGTTTGTTTTTAGATTAAATGTGTATGTTGTAGCAGGTGCCAGTTTAGGAGTATCCCTTTTTGTCTGAGAGAGAGATGCTTTGGATGTAACACATGTGAACTGCAGTTTTTATGAGTACATTAATAATATTTTAACATGCTTTTGGATCAGTTGAGGACACCATCTCAACTGACTAAAAAGTTTTTAATCAAATGCGTTAAGTGCTGTAATCCTAGTAAATATCTGTAATAATCTAACATTATGGAAGGCTTTTGCCTTACTCCAATAAAGACTCCTTGATATAGAGGTGGAAGATCTGAGAAGACTTGTGCACAGACATTGCTCTCCCTTGAGTATGGGACTCTCTTTCAGCCACATTGCCTCAGGATATCTGGCAAGACTGATTCAGCCCCATCTTCGTAGGGCTTTCATGCTAGCTCGAGGTCCTTCCCTCAGCTGTTTTATCGGGAAGGTTCAAGAAAATTCCCTATAAAGATAGATTGTGCCCATGTGGGATGGAGGAAATTGAATCTATTGGACATGTGCTTTTGTACTGTAAATTCCACTATGACATCCGTGTTGCTTATATTGAACCTGTGTTGGACCCCCTTTTGGGCCAATCTGATGAGTATAAAATTAGTTCTTTATTGTCTTCCCATAATATAGAAATTCTTGAACCTGTAGCAAATTTCTTTTATGAGGTATCTAGGAGGAGAGGCTCATATTAAGGCAATTCAGAATGTGATACCCCCCCCCCCGGCCTATCTTGAGGCTCTATGCTGCACGTTGTATTTGATATTTTATGCCAATAAAGGTATTGTATTTGTATTTATCTAACATTATGGCCACATATTTGATTACTCTGCTGAGAGACTCTCAAGGTATGTTGAACATCCTTTTCAGATTAATCTCCCTGGAGGTAGACAAAGAGCTGAGGAGTGTGCCTGAAGATGGAAGAGGGCTCCCAGCATATGACTGCTGGCTTTACAAGAATCTCGCCTTTCTTTTAAATAGCTTGGGGGGTGGGGGGTGAAAGGTTTGGAATGTGCCAGTGTAAGAATTCTTGGGGAACTGCTTCACAGTGAATGTTGGGGAACAGTACTGTATTGCTGTATGAAGAGTTTGAGAATCTCTGTACTGATTTCTTTTAAGTACTATTCTAGTGACTCACCTATCTTTTTCTCCCCTTAGGGAGCGAGTCAAGTCCATGTTTTATCATGCTTATAACAACTACTTGGAAAATGCCTTCCCTTATGATGAGCTGCGTCCTTTGACATGTGATGGGCAGGATACTTGGGGAAGGTACAGGGAAGAGTGAATGTTGTTTGCTTCCATGTAGAATTTTTTAAAGTTGAACTTTCTTAGAGGAAATCCTCATCAGGTTGGAGAAATATACAGTGTGATAGAGATGAGTTGTCTGTCTTTTATTCCTGTATCCCCGAGGATCTAGGCATGTAGATTTCATGGAGCAGAATGCAGAAGTGTACTGTTAGTTTTGTAGTCCCAGTTGTCAAATGCAAAAGTGGTGTAGGAGGTTGACAGCATGAACCAGTGTGACTAGGATTAATAAAACCACTTGGTGAAAGTGGAAAACTGTTGGTTCATACAATCCAATTTACCTCTGTAATATGGGAGAGAAATGACAGTAAAGAGAAAATTTCACAATACTGTGGTGCAATTTGTCAGGCTTTTCCACCTCCATGGTGGTTAGGGGAACAAATCTTGGAAATTCTTGCTGTGTGCAGCTTGAAAGCACATTACCTCTGTGACAAACTATAGCTTGGTACACCAAAATCACTAACTGTGGTATTCTTCCTCAAAACTATGCTTCATATGTTGCAACAAATTGTGGTCTGCTGCAGAAGTGATTGATTTTCCAAGCCAGGGTGGGAAGGAAGAGCTAGAAGCATGCAGTCCTGAGGATTTCCAAGGTTTGTTCCCTTAACAACAAACTGTGGCTTGTCATTACATGTGAATCATTCCTAAGAAAGCCTTGGTTGTTAATTTCATTGTAACATTAATTGCACTTTTTGGATACTTCTTTTGGAATCATAATTCCAGAGGGGTAGCCAAAGTAAACAGGAGCCTTGGGGCATGTTTAAGGGCTAACCAAATTTCAATTTTATTTGATGACTGTAGTCCTCAAAAGCATATACTAGAATAACATTAGTCTTCTTAAGGTGTCACGAGACTTCTGGGTTTGTTTTGGAATAGACATTTCTCTTAATATGAGAATGTAATATTTACATTGCATATTTACATTATAATGCACAAACATTGCTGCCAGGGCCATTTCATGTGTATTAACTTTTTCCTATTGGTTTTGGAGGTTTGGCAGTGCAATTCCATATTTAGTCAGATAAACAATGTTAAGTTGTTTGAAATTAATTAATGCAGCAATTGCATGTATATTTTTTCCCTGTCATGGGAAAGGAAAAGCCCACTGGTTAAATTCCTCAGTGTATATATATTTTTCCCAATTTGCTGCGGTTGACTCAGTTTTCTTCATGACATTTATATTGCCTTCTGTTCCTTTTCAGTTTTTCTCTCACGCTGATTGATGCTCTAGATACTCTACTAGTAAGTGCTTTTCTTCAATACCAGCAATGTTTCCTTGTTCCCTCTGTCTTGCCTGCTTTTAAGTGTCCTACATTTGGATAAAGAATAGTTCCTGTTCCTCATTCTTGCCATTTCCCCACTCAAGGAGTTAAGAAGAGTTGCCAGTGTTGTAGGTCCAGCCCTTCTCTCTCTCACATATTCTGTATTAAAATGCAGAAAAGATATAGTGTTCTTTCTGTCTTCCATGCAGTGATACTGCAGTAGACATTCCTCAACAAGGCTAATCACTTCTGACTCACATGCTAAACTAGATTACTCTAAAGTATCAAGGATGTCTAATATGTGTGTCTCTATCATTATCACTGATCTTTTCTTTCACCGAATGTAATTGTTTGCTGTTTCATGAGGCTTTAGTTGTGCTTTCTGTTACTTTGGGGTTTTTCTTCCAGATTTTGGGTAATGTCTCAGAATTCCAGAGAGTTGTCAGCGTGCTGCAGGAAGGTGTGAATTTCGATATTGACGTAAACGCTTCTGTCTTTGAAACCAATATCAGAGGTAGGTAGAATTTTGTGAGCACTGCAAGTTGGAAGTATTTTCTGTAAGGTAACACAGAGGCAAAGGTGACTCTGTAGCAATAAGCAAAATGTAGTCACTATGACTTGCTTGTTCAGAAGTACTAGGTCTCCGAACATCAGTTGCTGGGGAGCAAAAAGAAGGGAGGCTGTTGCCTTCATTACCTGCTTGTATGCTTCCTGGAAACCTCCGATTGGCCATCAGCAAAGCCTTCCTAAAGTTTTTTTTTGTGTGTGTGATTATTCCGACTGCTTGCTTTACTTTGCGGGCTTTCTGTATTCCTTGCCATTCTTCTAGTTCGATAGTTCACAGCT